CTCTTTCATTTACAGTCAAATGATTTTCAGAGAGTGTGCTAGGACCATTCAATGGAGAAAGGCAGTCGTTTCAACAAGTAGTACTGGAAAAACTGGATATCAAACATGCAAAAATGAAGTTGGACCCTTTATATCATAAACAAAGTTAACTCAAAATGGATCAAAGACCTAAACATAAGAGCTAAAACTATAAAACTCTCTGAAGATAATATAGGAAAAAAGGTTTATGACATTAGATTTGGCAGTGATTTATTGGATATAACACCAGAAGCACAGGGAACAAAAAAAAAATTGACAAATTGGACTTCATCGAAAATAAAAACTTTTGTGCATCAAAGGACACTACCAACAGACTAAGAAGGCAACCCACAGAATCGGAGAAAATATTTGCAAATCATATATCTGATAAGGGAGTAATATCCAGAATATATAAAGAACTGCAACTCAACAACAAATAAACAACTCATCTAAAAAAGGGCAAAAGACACCCTTGTACATTGTTGGTATGAATTTAAAATGGTATAGCCTCTATAAACAGTATGGTGGTTCCTCAAAGGATTAAACATAGAATTACCATATGATCCAGCAATTTCACTTCTGTGTATATATTCAAAAGAATTGAAAGTAGGGACTGGAACAGATAGTTGTATATCCAGGTTCACAGCAACATTATTCACAATAGCCAAAAGGTAGAAGCAACACAAGGGTCTATTGACAGATGAATGGATAAACAAAATGTGGTAAATACATACAATGAAATATTATTTAGCCTTAAAAAGGAAGGAAATTCTGATACATGCTACAACATAGATGACCTTGAAGACATTATGCTAAGTGAAATAAGCCAGACACAAAAAGACACTGTTATGATTCCACTTACATGAGGTACCTAGAATATTCAAATTCATAAGAGACAGAAGCAGAATGGGGGTTGGCAGGAGATGAGGGAAAGGGAGAATGGGGAGTTAGAGTTTAATGGGTAAAAAGTTTCCATTTGGGAAGATGAAAAAGTTCTGGAGATGGATGGTTACAATTGTTGCAGAACAATGTGAATATACTTAATACACTTAAAAAATAGTTAAAATGGTCAGTTTTATGTTAGGTACATTTTACCACAATAAAAGAAAGTTTGCTCTGCAAAAGACACTGTTAAGAGAATGAAAAGGCAAGCTACACACTGGGATAAAATATTTGCAAATCATATATCCAACAGAGAATTGTGTTTAGAATACATAAACAACTCTCAAGAGTCATCAGGAAAAAATTAACAACTCAGTTAAAAAACAGCAAAAGATTTGAACTGACACTTTAGCAACAGGATATAAGGATGGCAAATAAGCATATGAAAAGATGTTCAACATCATTAGCCATTAAGGAAATGCAAATTAAAACTACAATGAGATAAGACTTCACAGCTATTAGAATAACTAAAATAAATACCAACAATACCAAATGCTGACAAAGATGTAGAGCAACTGGAACTCTCATACATTGCTGGTGAAAATGCAAAATGGTTCAGCCACTCTGGAAAATGGTTTGGCAGTTTCTTATAAAGTTAAACAAACACTTACCATATGACCCAGTAATCCCACTCCTAGATATTTACCTTAGAGAAATAAAAATTTTATGTTCACACAAAAGCCTGTACAAGAATATTCATATCAGTATTATTCATAATCACCACAACCTGGAAACAGCCCAAATGCACTTGAATGGGTGAATGGATAGACAAACTTTGGAACATTCATACAGTGGAATGCTATTTGGCAAAATGAATGATACACACAACTTGGATGAATCTCAAAGGCACTATGCTGAGTGAAAGAAGTCACTCTCAAAAGATTACATATTGTATGATTCCATTCATATGATGTTCTCTAAAAGACAAAATCACAGTGATGGAGAATAGATCAGTGATTGCCAGGGATTATGGGTGGAGTTGGGAGTGACTATCAATGGATAGTATGAGGAAGTTTGAGGGCCATGGAGCTGTTCTCTATCCTGATTGTGGTGGTGGTTACATGAATCTATGTGATTTACACGATTTACAATTCACAGAATTGTACACATAGCCCCCCCCCAAATAAACAGGCAATTTGATTTTAAGTTCATTTCAAAAATAAAATATTAGCTATTATATCATCATCAATAGTTATACGTTACTGATTAATAAAAGTATTCAGAATTAGTTACAAAATAGGATCTAAAATTCATTAAGGTCATTTTATGTCTGGTATAATAACTTAAAGGTATAGAGAAAAATATCAACAACACTAAATGTAAAAGCTTTATTACAACTTCTACTAACTCCTCTCTTTAATATTCTGTATCAGGATAATATGCTCCCTGTGGATCATGTCCTATAAACATTGTCATATACTGAATATGGAATTAAATAAGAACTCAACTTAGAAGTCTGGGACCCTAGGTTACATTCCTAAATCTAACACTGTAAGAAAACTCTCGACTTGCCTTTTGTGCCTAATTTTATCTTCCTCTTCATTGAGGTCATGTACTTGTCTGCACTTGTCTTTTTGTGGTATGCTGTGAAGGTGTAAAGCAAGGAGTTTCAAAGATAGGAAACAGAACAGATTCATATACCACCCGCCCACCCCAAATACCAGGTACTGCTTTAAGTGATTCACATGTATTACCTCTCTTAATTCTCCTAACAACCCTAAAACATAGCTACTATTAATATTCTCATTAATATTCTCACGAAGAAAATGAAGCATAGAGTGGTAACTTGCCAACATCTTATAGCTAGTAAGCGGGGGGAGCCAGGATGTTCCCAGCAGTCTGCCTCCAGAGCCCATGTTCTTAATCAGTATGCTATAATGTCTCTCCACCAAAGGCTGTTTGTTCATTCTTTCTTTCCTTCCTTCACCACTGCTCTTCCATGTCTATGGTCTCTCTGTCTCTAACAAATCATTCATTCATTCTGTTGGCTTTACCTATGGTCTAAGCATAGATGAGCCCCAACTCTATGGATCTAGTTCTGCCCTCTCCCCTGAGCTTCACTGCTGCCATTTCCAACAGCCTCCTCGATATCTGCATTTGATGATCCTGCAGTCTCACAAATTTAACATGTTTAAAATCAAACCCATCATCTTTCCTCAAAATTTCCCCATAAAGGCTTCCTTAATTTTGCCAACTGTAAAATTACACAGCGTTGAAGCACCTGGGCTATCTTTGACACATTTCTCTCCACTGACCTTCATTCTCAGTCAACAAGTTTTACCAATTCTTCTTTTGTAATGTCTCTTATAATCATACCTACTTCTCTTTCCAATTCCATTGCCATCATCCTAGTCAGCTCTTCCTGCTGAAATGACTGTAATGCCTCATAAATTGTTCTCCCTGATTCCAGTTCTCCCTGTCGTGCATCATATTTACTGGCCACTAGATTAATCACTTTCAAATACTGCTTTTATCATGTTACCCCTGGCTCAAAGACCTTTAACCACATCCAAAATGACTAACTGAATAACGAACTCTGTATAGGTCTATACTACCTGCCAAAAAAAGTTCAAAAATTTTAGCTTCCTTTCTAACCTTGTCTCTCACGACACCTCCAAACATGCCATAGTGCTTGCGACAACTGCTGCTAGTGAAATGCCTTTCCCTCTCCTGAAGACTTGGTGGTATTATAAGAACATTAAAATTTTACCTCCTCTGAGAGGCCATGTTCAGTAATGCCCATCAATGCACAGTGGCCTTTCTCTCCTCTGAACTCCTACAGCCCTTAACAACTGTATCTAGCATTGTTACTAAATGTTATGTTTCTCTCTCCAACCAGCAATTGGCACAAAGTCAGGAACCATTTCTTAAACTTCTGCATACCTTCCACAGTGCCTAGCAAAACTTACCTGTTAAACCCACTCTTTCTGGTTAAGACACACACCATTTATCTATATATTTTGTGCTAGCTTATAGTTCTACCTAAAGACCCTTCACAATCTAGCCTCACCTACCTTTCCAGCGTCATTTCTTGTCAGTCCTCACTGTGTCCTATACTTCTTGCCACACTGAACTTTTCACTGTTCCCTAGACACACCAGGTTCTTTCACAATCCTATTCCTACTCACCCACTATCTGTAATGCCCTCTCCCCACTATTTACCTGACAAGTGCCTGTTGATCAGTCAAGACTTGGTACAAATGTCAACTCCTGACTCCCCCAATTAGACTTAGATGTTCTATCCCTGTGTCCCCTCAGCATTTTATTCACGTCTCTACAATAGCAATTTTCATGTTGTACTGCAACTAACTAGGTACATATTTGTCTTTCTCAAGGGACTATACATTCCTCGGGAGTAGCAATAGTTCATCTTTCCCCTACTCCCTTCACTAACTCTTCATAGTTAATGCCCTGATGTTAAATCTTCCTGTCAGTGAAAGAACATATCAAGTCAGTGGCGATCACATACCTTGGTAATAAAGAGCCTTGAGGAAGGAATGACGATCAGCTCCCTGAAATAAAGAATTTTCTATTTCCATTTCTCGCCGGGTCAGCTGTTTGCTCTTTGCAAATCTCTGGGGCAGGCAAAGGATGCGCTGACGCTCCGAGATTCTTTCCTCAATATCTTGAAGACGGTTCTGTATCGCTTCAGGGGTTGCCCTAAGTCTCGCCCTCTGAAATAAGAGAAATGAGATGGCATATATCACAGAGGACACGCCCTAAAAGTGACAATCTGATGCCTTAAACAAGAAAGAAAATGATCAGGGCCCAGAAATGGTCATTTACAGACATGTTAGCTAAGAAGTCAAGGAGCAGGAATACCCTGTGCTCCAGTGGTTGGGACTCTGCACTTTCACTGCCGAGGGCACGGGTTCAACATCTGGTCAGGGAATGAGATCTCACAACCACGTGGCACAGCCAAAAATAAATAAATAAAATTAAAAAAAAAAAATCCCATTTGTTTAGGGGAAAAAAAGTCAAGAAGCAGGGGCTTCCCTGGTGGCGCAGTGGTTGAGAGTCTGCCTGCCGATGCAGGGGACACGGGTTCATGCCCCGGTCCGGGAAGATCCCACATGCCGTGGAGCGGCTGGGCCCGTGAGCCATGGCCGCTGAGCCTGCGCGTCCAGAGCCTGTGCCCCGCAACGGGAGAGGCCACAGCAGTGAGAGGCCCACGTACCGCAAAAAAAAAAAGTCAAGGAGCAGCTTCTCTTTTACCAAGGTCCCTATCCTAAAAACCAAGGAAGATTCAGACACAAAGCTCAGTGTTGTGAAAACTAAAAATGAAAAGGTTCTCAGTACCAAAATGAAAAGATCTTACTTTTTATTCTCCAGAAAAAATTTGCCCCACTCACCTTTTCACCTGAAACATGGCTCTTCCAAATCAAGATTTCTGTCTCATTAAGCCCTAGTTCCCTGAGAGAAGCAGTCTCCTGGTCCTTCTCATGCAGTGTCTGGAACTGGGACAAAGTCATAGTCCCAGCTGCTTCCTTCCCAAAGGGCTTGTACATAGTACCAGGAGCAAAGCTCTCTTTCTTAGATACACATCTGCAAAACAAGCAGGAAGAGAGTAAGAACATCTTCAAGTTACCACAATTCACAGAAATGGGGCTCGCCATTAAGAGGCACAATGAAACTCAGTGGCAATTTCTCTCTCACATACTATTTCTAGGCTGAAGCACCACTGTAATGATATGGAACTCCACCAGTAATCTAGGACTAATGACTGAATAAAATATTTATTTACTGGGTACCTACTATGCATCAGAGACTGTGCCAGGTACTGAGGATTAAACAGTAAAAAAGATAAAAACAGTTTCTGCTTTTGTGGAAGAACTGTAGAAGAGAAGCAAGTAAACAGGCAATGATAATACTGGATTCTAAGTGCTATGTATGTTAAAGGAAGATACAGGAAAGGTACTTAGCCCAGACGGAGTGGGATATGGGAGGCTTCCTAGAGGAAGAGACATAGAAGTAAAACCCTGCCTAATAAGTAGAAGTCTGCCAAGGAAAGCGGGCTGGGAGAGGAGTGTTACATCCAGACCTTAAGAGGCGTCTGTCATCTGGAGGTGAGGGTGTATGATAGTCTGTTTGCAAAATCAATACCTACTCCTCAATGGAGACACTGGTATCAAGTTGATGCTGAAGGAGGCTTTTCAGCTGCCTCTCCCCTTCTGTTTCCAGCTCCTCCAGGACATGCTCATCACTCTTCACACAGCTATTTACCCTGGAATAGATACAAGAATATATGTGGAAAGTAGAAGAGACAGTTAATCTCAAAATATATTCTTTATCTATATTATCTACATTAGTGATCCCATTTGTTCAAAGACACTTCTCTATTTGTTGTCCTTTATCATTCATTCCACAAACATTAACTAAATACCTGTTTACACAAAATGAATGCACTGTGCTAGGTACTGATGGAGTCAAAGATATTCAAGACAGAGTCTTTATCATCAAAAAACTTGCAATTTATTTAGGGAAAGGTAACAGATACGTATGTGTTGAGTGCATGTGCGGGGCAGAGGGGAAGAGGGGGAGAGAGAGAGAGAGAGAGGGAGGGAGGGAGGGAGAGGGAGAGGGAAAAGGACAGGGAGAGAGAGAGGGACAGAGGGAGAGAGAGAGGAAGAAAGATTTTATATCTTTTATATCTTCTTTACGAAGCATATGCCAAATCAGTAGTTCACAGAAGAAAGATAATTGGGAGGCAAGGTAGTAAATGAAGACTTGGGAAAGGTAATTCTTACACTGGCATTTGAAGGATTGAGTATGCTGAAGGAAAGAACAGGGAGAACGAGTATGAAGAGACAGAACTATGTTCTGGGGGATAATAAGAAGTTCAATTTAGCTGGCATTCATGTATGGGAGCCTTGGGAGATCATGTCGGAAGGGTAATTAGACTCAGACTGTGAATGGCCTTAAATACACCAACTAAGAGGTCTGGACCTTAATGTACACATATTAGAAAGCAATTTATTAGTTAACTGACATGGTGCAAGCGATGGTTTAGAAAAATGAATGTGGTTATAATAAGCCCTATGGAATAGTATGGAATAGTAAGAAAGAAACCAGAAGAACTAGTTAGGAAACTATAATTTATCAAGCATAAGGTGATGAAAGTACAAACTGGAGTGGTAATAGAAATTGAAAGGAAGGGTTAGATGAGAAAGGCCTTTTGAAGGTAGGGGTAAGGGAGAAGTGAAAGATAACCCTGAATTTCAAGCTGTGTAACTGACAGATGGGACCAATGAACTAAAGAGGAAGTTCCAGATGGATTAAATGGTTTGGGAAAGGGAAGTCATTATGTTAGCGTGTTGAGTCAACTACCTATTACAATTGAAATACCAACATGAAGTATCAGGAATGCTCCAAAGACATACTGAGTCTGAGGTGACAATGTGATACTGGCTAAAAGGAAAGTGATAGCAGAACTGTTGCATAGATAAGAGTCTGAGGCTGCATATGGAAATCTTTAGTCATCTGTGTTGTCAGGATCTGGAGCTGTGAGAGAGGAGATTACCAAAGAAGGGAGTATAGAAACAAAGATCAAGGGGGTCATAACATTTTACAGCTTAAGCACTACTGTGTAGAAATCTAGGTAATGCTAATATGAGCTAACTAACCCTAAATAATTAAAAACTCTGAGTGTAAAGAAATAGCAGGACCATTTAAGTGTGCAACAAATGATTATAAAAGACAAAAACAAAGTGAGTTAATTCCATGAGGAAAATAAATTTTAAATACCTTTCTTAAAAAATAGCCCTTTACTACTGGGGTTATGATGAGACGTAAAAGATGTATCTCCCATAATTATAAGCAAGATTCCCATACTTTAGACAGACTTATACCAACTTTGGGAAATTTTAAAGTATCCATAGGCCCAGGGTTTTCAAAAATTCCTTTTCAGTATCTTAATCGTTACTTATTGTTTAGAATTCTGAAAGTTCCTGCTAAGTTTAAAGTGGCTTTGAAATGAATAAACCATAGCTAAATACATCAGTACACATGAATTTCAAAAAGAAATGTGGAGTGAAAAAAAGCAAGTCACAGAAAAATTCACGTAATATGTGTCTGTGTAGAGTTGAAAATTGGATAACACTACCAACACTTTGTTTAGATATAAATTCGTATGTGATAAAACTATTTAAAAAGAAAAAAGCAAGGGAATGATTAACGCAAAATACTGGCTAGTGATCCCCTCAGGGAGGGAAGAGAAGCACTCAGGGAAGGGCACACAAGGGAATTCTGATACTGATAATGTTCTATGAATACTGTATCGATGATACTGCTGTTATCAAATGATACAGCATCCATGCTACTGATACTGGTAATGTTCTATTTCTAAAGCTTGTAGTGAGTACGAGTCTATTATTATTCCTTAACCTGTATATATACATTATTTTGCATGTATGAAATATATCATAAACATTTTTTAAAAGTCATTTTGAGACAAGGAAAATCAGAAACTTTTTTTGAAAAAGATGCAGAAACTGACAGTGCAGGAGAGCATTATACCAGTAGGAATTTAAATGCAGCGCTCTATTCCAGAGTGATTATTCTACTTGCAGAATGAATACAAAACTAATTTAATGAGGATCCTTTAAAAAGGCTTTGTGTACTGTCAATAATTCTAAGCTCAGGCTTTCAACAAAGACCAGCCACGTTAAAGCTGCCATTTCCTGCAGAACCAGTAGGGGGAACCGCTCGCAGCGGTGCCTTTCTTTTCTTACAGTACGTGGAAACGGTTTGGCACCCTGCTTCTAAATTTGTAACAACAAAGTATCACTTGCTTACTTTAAGAGCTGAAAATGCTACATGGTCTCTGAGCCCGAGAAAGTCCTTTTTAACACACAAACACTGCGAATAAACGCGCCCACCCCTGGGCCCCTTTCTGAGAATGGGGTGGAGATAGGGCGGGGCAGGGAGGAGCTGGCCCGCGTTTCTCCGGCGCAGGCCGGTTTCATCAAGCGGCCAAGACCCTTTTACCTGGGTGGGTCCGTCTGAAATAGGAAGGAGCCACAGCATCCGTCTCGGGGCCGGCGCCGTTGCCTAGGTGCCTGTGCCGGGAGGACATGCCTACGGAGACCGGCAGCAGCGGCGGCCCTTCCTGAACTTCGCCCTACAGGCCCGTCCAGCCCGTCTCCCCTTTTCCCTCCTCCTTTGTCTTCCCGCTCACACGAAACCGCGTCCCCAGAACGTGACATAACCCCAAACCCAAAGTAACAAAAGCCACTTGAAGAGTTAAAAGATAGAACAGACCTCCCTTCGCCGTCTGCTCTCAGACAAGCCCTTACCTCTTCATGTTTCCACGGCCCCTAGCTCTAACTTGGGTAAATAGGCCGCGGACTTCGAGTCCCAGAACTCTGCGCGGCCGACTCTAAGGGGATTGTGGTGGAGCGCAGGGCTCTGGGAATTGTAGTCTCGCATAGCTAGGAACCCAGAGTACGTACTGAGCAACCGGTATATTGTGAATTGTTCAAGTATTTCTCTTGGATTTCTTGTATAGGTTAAAGGTAACATCCAAAATATCCAGTTCATAAACCTAGGAGTCGCCTTTGACTTCTTGACTCTCTCATCCAGTATCACCAAATCCTGACCCCTCTAATTTCCCTCGAATGTGTCCCTATCAACCCTGCTTCTGCTTTCAAGGACTTCTTATCCCGCATCCCACCTACCTGCCGTTTCCAGTCCAGATGAGCCTCTGGTTCATCCTCTGCAGTGTTACCAGAGTGATCAGACTCAAGTTTGACCACATCACTAGCACAAATGGTTCTCCTCTGTCTCTAACAGAGGCTAAGACATTGTACTTCCTATCCTGAGAATCAGAAACCCACGTGTATTAAGGCCCATGAATGTTTTTATTGATAATTACGATGAATCAAGAGAGTGGTAGAACACAATGGTTAAGAGAATGGGCTCCTAGTTCCCGGAAATGGAAATACAAATGTCCTTAAGTACATGAAAAGAAAGATTTTTTGTTTTTGTTTTTTTGCGGTACGCGGGCCTCTCACTGTTGTGGCCTCTCCCGTTGCGGAGCACAGGCTCCAGACGCGCAGGCTCAGCGGCCATGGCTCACGGGCCCAGCCACTCCGCGGCACGTAGGATCTTTGCGGACCGGGGCACGAACCCGTGTCCCCTGCATCGGCAGGCGGACTCCCAACCACTGCGCCACCAGAGAAGCCCGAAAAGAAAAATGTTTAGTCTCACAAGTGACATGTAAATTTCAAAGTACACTGACTATAAAATACCTGATGTGTACTCCTCAAAACTGTCAAGGTCATCAAAAACATGGAAAGTCTGAGCATCTGTCACAAAAGAATCAAAGGAGACATGATGACCAAATGTAATGTGGGATCCTGGGACAGAAAAGGGCCCTAGGTACAAAATACGGAAATATCAATAAATTATGCACTTTAGTTAATAATCTATCTATCATTATCATTATCACATCTATCATTAGCTGTGACAAATATACCAGAGTTATTTAAGATGTTAACACTAAATAAAACTGAGTGGAGGAATACAGAACTCTGTACTATGAAACTTTTCTGTGAATCTAAAACTTCTCTTAAAAAATAAAGTTTATTTTCTAAAAGTACATTAAAATAACTTTTTTCACCCACCAGATTAGTAAAGATCCACAAGTTTGAGAACACACTTGTTTTGCTGAGATTGAGGGGAAACAGGCATTCTCAGTACACTGCTGGTAGAAACATAAATTGGTACCTCTGTGGAAGGCAACTTGAGGATACAATTTAAATCATAATCATAAAGGAACAATTCAACTTATTCTCAATACTATGTATCCTCAAGAAATTAATTGTATGTGTACATATCTAATTATAGGCTATACAATTTTATAAACTATATATATTATAAAATTTTGTATATATATAAAATTAGTCATGCAACCTTGTTTATAATAACAAAATATTGGAAACAACTTAAATATCCATGAATGTTACACATCCATTCAATGGAAAACTATGCAGCAGTAACAAAGATGACAAAGTTCTCTATGGACTGCTACTGAACAATCTCTAAAATATATTTAGTGCAAAAGCAAGGTACAGCACGATGTGTATAGTATTCTTCCATTTTAGTTTTTTAAAAAGAAGGAATATATGTATGTGTTTGCTTGTATAGGCAATAAAATGCCTCTGGGAAAACATAAGACAGTGATAAGTAAATGATTCCGGGTTAAGGGAACTGGATGGTGAGGGATAAAACTTTTCACTTTATCTTCTTGAATTTTGAACCACATGATTATATTACCTAGTCAATATATTTTTTAATTAAAGAGAACTCTTCTTATATCACAAAGAGCCAAAGAAGAAAAGGATCATGGGTTTGGGGGGGGAGGTCACACTGCTTGGATTCTCAGTTCCCACAGTTATTGACAATATAACATAGTAGGCAACCTGGACTTGAACTTTTGTTTGGCAAGTTACAAGACTATGTAAGTTTCATTAAGGTTCTTTAACTGGTCTAGGCCAGTTTCCTCATCTGTAAAATGGGAATAATTCTTCAGAATAGGGTGACTATAAAGTACTATACAAAAGAATGTTTTTTGGTTTTTGGTTTTTTTTGCGGTACGTGGGCCTCTCGCTCCTGTGGCCTCTCCCATTGCGGAGCATGGGCTCCGGACGCGCAGGCTCAGCGGCCATGGCTCACGGGCCCAGCCGCTCCGCGGCATATGGGATCCTCCCGGACCAGGGCACGAACCCATGTCCCCTGCATCGGCAGGCGGACTCTCAACCACTGCACCACCAGGGAAGCCCAAACGAATGGTTTTAAAATCACTTGCAGCGTGGTCATCTATGAGCAAATATTCCAAGTTTATCCAGTAGGTTCAGACTTATTCAAACTGTATTGCCACACTCAAGTTAGAGGATAAGACCAAACAGCAGCTACTGGAAGACATTATACTTCCTATCCTGAGAATTTCTAACAGATGAGAATGTCATGGAAAGTACTAGAGTTACCCAAGACCTAGCATATGCAAATGACTGTGCTCTTGAAGCACCCGGGCGAATGAATGCAGCTCTAACATGCACCATTTTGTGGTTTTCGCACAGAACAGGGGTGGAATCTAAGCAAAAACAAAGTGTGGGTCATAACATAACCTGCATTAAGTAAATCCTATATGGTGGTGGGCTGAATTCTGCTGCTCAACCAAACTGTCCAATTGACACATTGATCAACAAGGAAATGGAAGAATACACCAAAGTTGCTAGTGTGTCTGTCCCCTGGGAAGGCGGCAAAGGGTGGAACAGATTACTACACTGACCACCACACCAGACTTGTATACAGCTTCCTATAAAACTTACATTCTATTGGTACTGAAGTGATACACACTACATTACAAATCCACTAGGTGGGATGAGTGGAGAATGAATGGCTAAAAAGACATACATGGAGTGGAATTACAACTACAAAGCAAGGTCATAAGGAAGTACTCTATGTACCGGTGTATAACTGTAGCCAGTCCGAGTGGTAGGTACCAAGGGACAAATATTCAGAAAATTGCGCTAGAAGGAAAACCAGGCTATTTCTAGCTCTGCCAAATTTATTACCTGTGGAATAATAGCTATTCCATTTCCCCACAGCATCCTGTCCCCATTTCAAAAGGATATCAGACAGTATATTAAAAGCTTTGAGATTTCTAGATGTTATTCATGGGCACAGAGATCTTAGCACGAGGTAATTTCACAATTTCACTCCCAGAAGAGTTTATGACAAACTGAAAACTATGCCTCATTTGTCTTTCTGACAATTTAACAAGGTTAGTTTAATTAAGCCAGAAGTTCCTCCTTAACATAGACATATTTTCAGGCTTTGTCCTTTTTAGGTGCTTTGTTCACAGCACACTTCTGATGAATACATTATGAAGCAATTATAATTTCCAGATATGAAAGAAGATGCTAAAACCAAAAATCTTCTCTCGAAGAGGGACAGCATCACTCGTCTAATATTAAGAGTAAACAACTGTGCATGTCTTTCAAATCCTCCAAATGAGATAGCATAAATGCTGTCTTTTTCAGAGGACAGAAAAAGTAGATAAGCACTGGGAAAGTGTCAACATGACAAATTTAAGAATTCTCCTTCAGCTAATATCTTACCTGGTCTTTAACAACGGCTGCGGGGGAGAGGGGTCTCAAGATTCCAGTACCTAACATAAATGTAGCCTTAAAATTACTGGCAAGAATAGGTTATTTCTGATCTTTTAATTAATATCTGTTCAACAATGCCATGTCTTTTAGACACGTTAGAACTAGAGTCAGAAGGAACCTTAAAAACGATTTAGTCCAAGGCTCCAAACAGTACACTGAGATCTACCAGTAAACCCACAGTATTACTGCATTGACCTGGAAGTCACTTGCCATTCACACGCCTCTTTTTTTTTTTTTAGCCTGTTTTTTTAACATCTTTATTGGAGTATAATTGCTTTACAATGGTGTGTTAGTTTCTGCTGTATAACAAAGTGAATCAGCTGTACATATACATATATCCCCATATCTCCTCCCTCTTGCGTCTCCCTCCCACCCTCCCTATCCCACCCCTCTAGGTGGTCACAAAGCACCGAGATGATCTCCCTGTGCTATGCAGCTGCTTCACGCTAGCTATCTATTTTACGTTTGGTAGTGTATATATGTCCATGCCGCTCTCTCACTTTGTCCCAGTTTACCCTTCCCCCTCCCCATATCCTCAAGTCCATTCTCTAGTAGGTCTACGTCTTTATTCCCATCCTGCCCCTAGGTTCTTCATAACCATTTTTTTTTTTAGATTCCATATATATGTGTTAGCATACGGTATTTGTTTTTCTCTTTCTGACTTACTTTACTCTGTAACACACGCCTCTTTTATGTCCTGGAAAAAAAATATTAGAACTCCCAATGCAAAGTCGATAGGAGTACTGTAGCCTCCTCTTTCTTTATTTTACTGAGGAAGTTTACAGTAAGTAAGTACTGGTAGTGAAAAGACATAAAGGAATCAAAAAACTTGTGAGAAATGAAAACTAGTTTCTTCCAGTTGGGAAAATCTTCATATGGTCCAACTCTTTCATGTTATAGACAAAAGATAATGCTCCAAATGAAATTATCTGTGCAGTTGATTAAGCAGGGACAAGAATAAATCCAGTATTTCCTTCTATATACTATGTTCTCTTTACTGAATGTGGAACTTAACGTATTCACAGACTACAAGAGTTGAATTGCCAAAAACAATAGGGGAAATGTTTTTATCTAGGATAATAATATTGTATTCAAACATTAAAGATTACTCAAGATAATACTCAAAAGCTGTTTACCTACAGAAATCATCCATAAAATTAAATGGTCTCTGTAATTTTGAGAGGTAATGAAAACTTACCTGATTAGAAGCTGCTACTTTGAGAAGTGTGGGTAGGAAAAAAAGAGGCCATGTAAGTTCTGATATTTGGTTTACTCATAAGGTGATGTAAATCACTAATACTCATTTCAAAAATATATTCTTTCCATAATATGTACCCTACAGGATGGTCATGTTCAGTCAGTACAACAGAAATTCAGCTCAGGAATTACAGGCAATTAAGCTTTAGTCACTCAAAAACCTTTAAGTAGTTTATTTTAGTGTTATATTTTTATTTTTCAGAGCATTGCCTTTATTTATGACTTAGGTAAAACATGAAACACAAGAAATCAGACTGTTTCCAAGCTAAGAACAATGCTTTTTCTTGAAAAACAGATAAACAAATACACAAAACCCACAACTATAAATCATATGCTAAAACCAAGTAAAACACCAGATTATCTGGACATCAAAAATAAACGAACTGCCTGAACCATACCCTTTTTTAAATAACCTAAATCAAGTCCCAAATCCATCCTAACTCTTCCTCTCTTCTTTGAATTTCTATAGCATACTTTCTGTACTTCATAACACACTTCCTTGTATTGTCTATACTGTTTTTTTTATACAGACAGGCATTAAGTATATCTCAAAGTAGACAGTAAGTTCTTTTGAGGAGAGAGACTTTACAGTAGCTAACACTATACGTTGAATGTTAACAGGCACCCAGTCAAGACTGGTTGGCATCTATTTTTTGGCAAACATTTCTTTATGATCTGGTTGGAGTGAAAAAGACACTGCGTGTTGCCAGTAAGATATGGAATCTAGCAGAGTAAACCATGAATTGCACACACAGAGTCAACATCAAATAGGCTGCTGTCTAGACAGAAGAACTGATATAGTTTTGATTTGCGAATACTAAAAGTCAAAACTACAGTATCATTCCCAACAGCACAATATTTAAGTGGGGGAAAAATACATGCAGCCTTTATTGCCACCAAAGATTAAATATTAACTGTAAATACTACTCTAACAAACACCATCAAAATTTGTAGGTAATGTATAATCCAAAAACAGCATGCTGAAGATAGGGTCATTCAATCAAAAGCAATCCTGACATTGCATTCCTGCTCCTTGCAATGATGATGCTCGAAAACTTGTGTTACCTCTTCTACCTTCTTTTGCACCCTGTAATGACGATGCTCGAAAACTTGTATCTCTTCTACATTCCTTTGCAGCATGCCTATAAGGGGAAAAGGCACACATCATTACTCAGAGGACAAAATATCCCAGGAACATAACTTACATTCTCCCTTCAACATATGATTGACAAAACTTTACATGTCAATTTTTTTTTTTTTTTTGGCCATGCCGTGCGCCTTGAGGGATCTTAGTTCACCGACCAGGGATTGAATCCGTGCCCCCTGCAGTGGAAGTGTGGAGTCTTAACCACTGGACAGCCAGGGGAGTCCCATACGTGTCAATTTTAATAGCTTTAAGTATTAGAAAATACAGAGGAAGAGAAAAACATGCCTCTGTCTGGTTGGAAACTATTGCACAAGACTGTTCTTGATTTGCTCTCCCTAGCTTTCAGGGAAGTAACAGTCTACCTGACATTTGTATTTTGTTGAAGAGAAGTGTTAACTGCTTTTTACTCATTACAGCCTAAAGGTGTCATACAGGATGGTCACGAAATTGAATGTGTGGATTTTGGTATGTCTTTGCTGCCTATAAGCAAATTAGTACACTGAATATTTTCACATTTCAGTTCCTTTCTAATGATTTATTTAACTTGGTGGTCCTTAATTTGCTCAGGGGCAGAACAACACAAAATACCATTAGTTTCACCATATAGAACAGTAACTTTCTGCAGTAAAAATAAGCTGTTGAAGTAAGTGTGATAATCTGAGTTTTTCTGTTAATGTGCACAAATAAATTTGGTCATTTGTTTTAGTATTCATTAATGCTCACTGGTTGATAAGCAATAACTGGTGCCAAAAATTTAAGGAAAACTTTACAAGAGAAAAACTAAAAAATGTGGAACAATATACTTTAATTTTCTTCAGCCAATTGGAAAAGAACCAATGTTTTGCAGTTTTTGAAGTATAATACCTCATTCTATCTTATGACATATAGGCATTCCGTAAGATCACACCTTTTAAGAACAAGTGATTTAAATGATGGTTGTCTACTGAAAGGCTAGGAGAACAGTCTGGGAAAACACAACTCCTTTCTGTTGTAATAACTAACTGCAGGGACCAATTTTTTACCCCTGAATAACATTTTTCAATGTGACAGAAACACAAATGAGCACTACAACAAACCATTACCTTGAGGCCAAAAGTGTCAACATAAGCACAAACTACTTAATTTGCTGATTGATACATATTAAATGCAAAAGAGTACTTTTATAAACATTTTTAAAAATCAATGAAATGTCGAGAAACACAAGTCAGCATTATTAAGAGAGGCTTACCATAAATATTTTGTCATGGCTTCAAATTGAATTCTCAAGACTATCTCTGTATTAACATACTTTACATTTTTCAGGAGTTTCATTCCTTAAGGGCAAAAACTGCACCTAGGCACTTAACTGCCCAGAGTTCTGGTCCCATGATATGCGTCAGTGATTGTCCCTGCAGGCCTATTAAATTATACATCGTACTAGAAGTAAAATGCTAGTAATAGTCAAAATTTGATGGGAACTATGCCATATACATTTGACATTATTAAAAAAGTAATTGTACTGAACAATATGAAAGTGAAATTAATAAAACAACTCCATTCACAGTAGCATAAAAAAGAATTAAAACACTCAGGAATAAACTTAGCAAATGAACTATAAGACTTGTACACTGGAAACTATAAATCATTGCTAAGAGAAACTAAAGAAGATCTAAAAAAATGAAGAGATATTCCATGTTCATGGATTGAAAGACTCAATACTGTTAAGATGTCAATTCTCCACAAATTGATCTACAAATTCAATGCAATGCCTATGAAAATTCCAGGAGGCTACTTTTGTAGATACAGAAAAGCTTTAAAATTTACATGGAAAGACAAAGGACCCAGAATAGCCAAAGCAATCTGAAAAAGAATAATAAATTGCAGGAATTACACCACCCAATTTTAAAACATACTACAAAGCTACAGTAATCGAGACAGCATGGTATTAGCATAGGATAGCCATAGAGATCAATGGAACAGAAATGAAGTCCACAAATAAAACCTTATATTTATGGTCAATTCATTTTTAACAAAGGTGCCAAGACAATACAATGGGAGGAAGCATAGTCTTTTTCAGCCAATAATACAGGGACAACTGCATATCTACATGTAACTGAAGTTGACCCCCTACCTCTAACTATGAACAAAAATCAACTCAAACCCCTGTAATAACCTATATGGGAAAGAATCTGAAAAAGAATAGATATATGTATGTGTATAACTAAATCACTTTGCTGTACACCTGAAACTAACACAACATTGTAAATAAAGTATACTCCAATATAAAATAACAATTAAAAAAAATCTCTCAAACACTTAAAAATCCTCAAGAAAATTCTAGCAAACCAAATCCAATAACATATAAAAGGAACTAGAAACCAGGACCAAGTAGAATTTATTCCATAAATGTAAGGTTGAATCAATGTTTAAAAATGTGTCAATGTAATCCACCATATCAACAAGTTAAAGAAGAAAAATCATATGATTATATCAATTGATGTAGAAAAAGCATCTGACAAAATCCAGTACTCATTAATAATAAAAATTAATGATAAAAAAAAGTCAGGAAAAGAGTGGAATTACCTCAATTTGATAAAAAGCATCTACAAAAAAACCTATACCTAAAATCATACTTCCAGTGAAAGACTAAACTCAGAAGCAAGGCAAAGATGTTTGTTCTCACCACTCTTATTCAACATGGTCCTGAAGTTCTAACCAGTGTAACGTGAGAACAAGACATAAATAGCATACAGATGGGGAAGGAAAAAACAAAATTGTCACTTTTTGCAGATGATGTAACTACTTACGTAGAAAATCCCAAGGAATCAAAAACAAAACAAAACCCCAAAATACCAAACTCCTAGAAGGGAGTTCAACAGGCATACAAGATCAACATATAAAATTGTGTTTTTATGTACTAAAAATGAACATGTGGAAACCAGAATTTAAAACGCAATATCATTTACAATCACTACAAATAAAATGAAATACTTAGGTATAAGTCTGACAAAACTAAAACATATACATGATGTGGGTGCTGAAAATTACAAAATGCTGATGAAAGAACTCAAAGAAGATCTAAATAAATATTGAGACATACTATGTTCATGGATGAGAAGAATCAACACAGTAAAGATGTCATTTTTCCCCCAAAATGATCTATAAATTTAATGTAATTCCTATCAAATCCCAGCAAATTTTCATGGAAATGCAAAGGAATTAAAATAGCTAAAACAACGTTGATGGAGAAAAATAAAGTGGGAGAAATTACTCTCCAAGATATTAAGGCTTACTATACAGCTACATTGATTAAGAAAGTATGGTATTGGTGGAGCGAAAGACATATAGATCTACAGAATAGAGATCCCAGAAAACAATTTGATATCCATAGAGGAAAAAAAAACGTCATCTAAACCTCACATCTTATACAAAAATTAACTCAAAATGGATCACAGCCTTAAATATAAAATATAAAACAATAAAACTTGTAGGAAAAAACAGAGGAGAAAATTGGGGGTATACAGGACTACACAAAAAGTTCTTAGACTTCACACCAAAAGCATGGTCCATAAAAAGAAAAATTGAAAAACTGGACTGAATTTTAAAACCTTTTGTCCTGTGAACAACTCTGTTAAGAAGAGACAAGGTACAGGGTAGGAGAAAATATATGCAATCCACATAGCTAGCAAAGGACTAGTATCTAGAATATATAATGAACTCTCAAAACAACAGTAAAAATAAAATCTAATTAGAAAATGGACAAAAGGCAAGAACTGACATTTCATCAAAGAGGATATACTCATGACAAATAAGCACATGAAAAGATGTTCCACATCATTAGCCATTAGGAAAATGCAAATTAAAACTTCAGTGATCTCACTACACATCTAGCAGAATGGTTAAAATGAAAAGAAAAAGTGAAAATACCAAATGTTGAGGATGCAGACAAATTAGATTACTCATACATTGCTGGTGGGTATGTAAAATGGTACAGTCTCTCTGGAAAACAGTGTTAACAGTTTTAAAAATAAAACTAAAGACGCAACTACCATATGACCTAGCAATTGCACTCTTGGGCATCTATCCAAGAGAAATGAAAACTTATGCTCACACAAGACTCTGTACATAAACATTCATAGACGCTTTACTCATAAGTAGCCAAAATCTGGAAACATCTAAGATGTACTACAACAGGTAAATGTGTAAACAGACTGTAGTACATCTAAACCATGGAAAACTACTCAGCAACAAAAAGGATCAAACCACTGATACACATAGCAATTTAGATGAATCTCTGGGGAATTATGCTGAGTGAAAAAAAGCCAACCCCTAAAGGTTACATGCTATATGATTTCATCTTATATAGTATTTTGAAATGATAAAATTTTAGGAAGGGAGAATAGATTAGTGGTTGCCAAGGATTAGGGGGCAGGGAGTAGGGGGGATATGGTGGGAGGGAGGTGGGTGTGGCAATAAAAGGGGAATATGAGGAATTCTTGTAGTAATGTAACTATTCTGTATTTTTACTATGGTTGTGGATATACAAACCTACATGTGATAAAATTGTATATGACTAAACACACACACACACACACACAGAAGTAAAACTGTAGAAATCTGAACAAGACAAATTTTATCAATGTTAATACCCCAGTTGCAATACAGTACTACAGTTTTGTAAGATGCTATCACTGGGGAGAACTAGGTAAACTATAAATAGGAACTCTATATTATTTCTTCAGGACCTATATTATTCCTTACACTAAATGTGAATCCACAATTACCTCAATAAAAATTTCAATTAGTATAAAAAACTAACCCACTCAAATAAGGTTTTGATTCCCAATTTCTTCTAGAAGTGCCTGCTGAGTAGCCACATAATATGACCCCCAATTTATGTGAGGCAAGAGTTTTAACATTTATTCTCACTGCTTAATATTGTTGGCCATCGTTTCAGCTTCCAATATGGCTTTCCTCATTGTTGCATGCCTGCTAAGCCAAAGACAGATTTTAAGG